AACTAACACTGCCACCCATGGGAACGCCTTTCACCTGGCGGAAGATGTAGGTTTTGTAAGTTTTCATGATTTCTTATTCTTTGTCCATCTTTGTCCAAGAAAGTTTGGGGTATTTTGACGTTGCTGCACTCTTCTCCACAGTCTTCTCAATTTCGCTCTCTGCTCTACTGCTTGCCTTGTCTTCTCTTTTCGGTAATTGTCGTGATTTTCTGGCACTCGCCTTCTTAGCAATTTGCGCAGAAGTTTGTACTCTAAGCCGATAACGCCTTTCGACGCCTCTTCTCGTCTTTTCGAAGATCAGGCATTTTGTGACTTAGACGGCTTCTGATGCGTTGGACGACATTTACCTGAGCAATAATTTTACATTCATTGAGCTTGCCGGAAAAAATATTGTAGTCTGCATCTATGTTATTCCTTGCGACTTCTTAATTTTCTCGTTCAATACGTTGTAAGAAGAGGTCCCTGGAAACTGTTTCGTTCTACTACGGTGAATATTTCTTTTCTGAATCCTCCTTTCTTTGTTGAAATCGATTCTGATGTCGGCCGTCACAAGGCGCTGGTCAAAGTGGACCGAAACTGCTGCTTCTGGTATGACAGAGAAATGTGCAATCACTCGCCGTTTGTCGGTGAGGATATAATAGATTTCAGTTTTCTGCGCATTGGTATTACGCCTTGTCCAACGTCTGTCCGTACGTCTCTGGAAGAAGGAGTTCACTAAGTGGGGCTTGGAACTCTCTGCAAAATTTGCAGATCTCTGACCTATATCATTCCTTGCTCCAAGCGTCCATTGTGAACTTCGGAGTCTTCTCTTTTTGAGTCTGGCGTCGAAGTCTCCAAGGACTGTTGTCGCAGCACGGCTTCAAGCCCATCGTAGAAATGTTCGACGTCTCCGTTATCCACTGTTGAGGTGGGCGCATACGCCGCGATAAGCTTCATCATGGCTTTTTCATTATTTCGTACAACAAGCACTCCACTGCATGAGGACTTAATCTCACATGAAAGAATTCGACTTATTGCTGAATTCAGTAACACCTGTTCCTCTGTCAGATGTTCGCAGAATAACTTGAGTGTCGTCGCCAAATTTCCCGGTTGACGCAACGGTTCACCTGGTTAGGATGTCAGTGCGGATGTTGCATTTAAAACGTTAAGCAGTGACGCATAAAAAAATAAAAATACCTGGTGACGGTTTTAGCATCCCCTTCTCTTCGTCAGTTGCTACACCACCGTCGCTGTGAACGCGGCAGAAAGCTGCGCAAGACTGATGGCCATTTTTCTTGAACTTTTCTTTTGGAGTTGCTTTCGCCTAGCAGTCAGCCTTCTGGCGATCCGGTGTTTTTCGTCCTCCGAAGGGATTGCCTCCTCAACGACAGAGGTTTTCTGGCAAGGATTTAGCCGTTTGGAGCTTTGTCGGTGTATTGAGCATCACCATCCCGCTTCCGAGCGTTGTCAGTCCTAGACCACGGTGAGGGTAACTTGCTGGCTGAGGCAAAAATAAGTGATAATAAACAAACAGTCATATGGCTTTCATTCTTAGCCAGGCTTGAACGCATCAGTTTGCCGATGCGATCTCACGTTTTTCTACCAAACTTGAATTGGGTCATTAACTACATGAATGATTGTTGCTTTACACTTACCTGTTGCACTCACTGGTGTAAATAATCGTAAAATTTGCATAACGGAAAGTGAATAATTGTCGTTTAGCGGCTGTTTCCTTAAAAGTGACCTAGCTGTCCAGTGAAAAATTATGTGACCCAGAGGTACATACGGCTCTATAATGCAACACCTTCGTCCCAACCGATTCCCTTGCTCCTGCATGCTGGAAGAGGCCAAAGCACGGCCAACATAAGCCCAACTGTTAGGTTACAGCGCAGGGATCCTTCCTGCTATTAGCGATTTGCGAATTTAGTGCAAAAGCACATGGTCGCACCGGCAGGCCTGGTGCATTCCAGCCTGGGTTTACGTTAAGCGTGATGAGAACAAATAATACGACGATTGTGACAGTACGTTTTTATGCGTTTTTGCTGTGCAGCGCTATAGCGCTGCTACAGCCAGCAAAAACGCATATTG